GCTCGATACGCCCGATTCTGGTTTGGGATTTCAATTGCTTGGAGAATTTGCCAACGCTTTATCAGCTGGCCACTGGGAAAACTGGCAACCAGAATTATTTTATAGGCTTTCCATCACATTCAAGGGTTGTCCAATATGGGCTCAAGGCCTTCCTTGACCAAATGCCAAGAAACAAGCTGTTCCAGCATTTCTTTTCCTGAAAAACCGACTTTGACTTTTGTTTTCCAAATTTCTTGACAAGCTTTTGTGCAATTAATGAACAGCACTCCAAATTTTTCAGGTGAAAGAGACATTTCTCAGTGAATTGTCGAGATCCACATGTGGGATTTGACAAACACTTGCAGCAATAATGAGCCAAGATGGAATCAGCAGCTTGTTGGCGGCAAACAACCATTAACCGTAGAGCTTATCTCTCAGCAACACAGATGGTACACAGGAAGACAACAAATGCATCATTAATGAGGGCTTTATTGGAGGGTGTTCAGTTTAATGTGACATTAGTGATCTGTAAGGCTCCTTTGATTGAAGAAAGTTGCATTTGGAAGAGCTGCTTTGGAATTGCTAACGCTCAGAAGCTGTTATGAAAGCTAACTGTCCTCCTCTGCAGCTGGTAAACTGCAGGGTGCCTTGGCTGGAAGAATGCAACTGAGCGGAAAGTGCTTAAAGCAGTCAGCACAATTACTGAGTTTAACAGAAAGTCTCGTGATATCGAGATCCACAAGGTGAAGATCTGAGAGTGGTTCTTATTAGGGTTTGAATGCAGTGTAGATTTCAGTTTCGCTGCCAAAGATGCAGGAGTTCCTGTTTGATTCGTGAGCTTTGTTCAGAAAATGGGAAATCCGTGCGACTCGCTGGGATCTCAGTCCAACATGCTCTGGCACTGAGCCAACAGCTCACTCGGCAAAGATACTTTCAGTAAAAGGACATGTGGCCCATGCAAAGAAAGGTGCAAATCAGCTCGGTATCTGTTAAATTAGTTACAGGATTGGGAAACACATTTGCTTGATCAGCTACTTTCCATCATGGTGAATGCAGAATGCCCTCAGCTGTGAGGCATTTACACTGTGCCTTTGCAATGACTTAATCTGTTAGAGATTATTTTACGGAGTTTTGCCTTCCATTCCTCTGGTAGCTCAGTGGATAAATGTGTTCTCTACAGAGTTATTCAGCCATGAAGGCGAGACAATTCCCAATGGGAACTCTGCTCTCTACAGACATCCTCAGTGATGCCATGTTTAGTCAGCTCCTGTTTTTATTTCTAATTTTGTTTTATTTATTCATTCACAACATGTGAGTGTTGCTGGCTAGACCAACATTAATGGCCCATCCCTCATTGCCCTTGAACTGAATTAGCTTTATTGTCACATTTACTTAGGTGGGTACAGTGAAAAGTTGACAAGTCGCCACTTACGGCTCCACTTAGGTACAAAGATACCTAGGTACAGGATCTTGAGAGGGTGTTGGTGAATTTTCTTCTTGAACCATTGCAGTTCATTTCGCGTAGGTACACGCACAATGCTGTTAGGGAGCGAGTTCCAGGATTCTGACCTGGCGACAGTGAAGGAATAACAATATATTTCCAAGTCAGGGTGGTGAGTGGCTTGGACGGGAACTTGCAGGTGATGGTGTTCTCATTTATCTGCTACTCATGTCATTACAGATGGTAGTGGTTGCCGTTTTCGAAGGTGCTGTCTAAGGAGCCTTGGTGAATTTCTGCAGCACGTCTAGTAAATAGTACACTGCTGTTACAGAGCTTCGGTGATTGAGGAAGTGCTGGCTTGTGGATATCGTGCCATTAAAACAGGCTATTTTGTCCTGGATGGCGTCAAGATTCTTGAGAGTTGTTGGAGCTGCACTTACAGGCAAGTGAGGAGTATTCTATCTGGCTTGTGCCTGTTTGATGATGGGGAGCTGGGAGGTGAGTTACTCACTACAGGATTCCTAGCCTCTGACCCGCTCTTGCAGCCACAGTATTTACATGGCAAGCCCAGTTCAATTTCTGGTCAGTGTAAACCACCCCCCAACGATGTTGATCTGATGGCTGCTGTTTTGAAATACACACATGAGCTTTCTCCAAAACACATAATTTAGCATTATGATTGCCAATCCTTCACTGTGGCTGGATCAGATGTCCTAGGAGTCCCTTTCCAGTAGCACTGTGGATGCACCTAAACCACAAGGACTGGTGCAGTTCAGAGGGCAGCTCACCGTCACCTTCTCCAGCGAAATTAAACGATGGGCAACAAATGTTGGTCTTATCAATAACACCCACGTTGCAAGAACCAAATCAAAAAAAAAACGGAAGTATCTTCAGTCGGGTGTGATTCCAGAGGCCTGAGAGCAGGCACTTTCCAATAAATCTTTCTGTAAAAATGTTTCGTCTAATCTATCAACGTTTATGGTCCTTCGTGAGGGGGTGTTGATTAATGGAGGTGGCTCAACAGCAGATTTCTGATGCAGAGTAACATCAACAGCGGTGGGTTCAATTCCTACGGTTACCATGAAGGACTCTCCTTCTCAACCTCGTCTGAAAATGCTGGAGATACTCAGCAGGACTGGCACTAACTGTGGACAGAAAGATTTAACATTTCAAATCAATGATCTTTCATCAGCTTGGGGCAGGGGTATGTCCTAAGGTTGTTGGAACTCACCAAGGTACCAGAGCTGCTCCAGGGTTACAGCATAGTATAGGCTTGAGTTAAGGACCATGGGTCTAAAGTTCCCTTCCCGAAAGGGAGTCCTGAACCAGGTAAGTTTTTGAAATGCAGTACCATTCATGGAGGTCATAACAGATCCAAATTTTACCGGGGTAAGATTTGATCTCACAACCATTAGCACACATTGTCAAGGCTCACAAACAATAGCTCTTGGGCAAAGTCCTGGCTAGCTGAGGGCAATGTCCGCACACTGAAGCAAAGAATTCCCACTTCCACGAAAATATGGGAGTGAAGTGAAAATCAAAATAGGAATTGCTGGAAAAGCTCAGCGGGTCTGGCAGCATCTGTGAAGAAA